CACTGTAGAATTGCGGCAATGGTCTTATTGAAAGGAGCATTTTCATTGGTTCATAGTTAACTATGTTTCGTATGATTTTTATGGTGTGTGATAAAACTCTCATCGCTGTTTACTTACCAGAGATACTAGTAGGGATAGGTTCGAATCAATTGACCACACCAAGGACCCAATTTAGAGACAAAGAGAAGTGATCTTGTCCGAGACATATCATCAAATATCATATCATCAAATATCATCAAGAAATATCGCAAATGGGATGCATATCAAAGAATTGTCCCACAAAAGTTGTCCTTCGTTTAGAGCCATATATAGTAATCTTACCTTATTTGTAAGTACGATAGGAATGGTTTTTGTCGATTTTCTCGACTTGTAAAGCTTGAAATCGTCTGAAACTTGAAGATATAATAGTAAAAACACTTCTCAACAATCGGCCATTTTGTTTGTTTCCATATATGGCATGGATTCGCTAAAGGAAGCCCAAAACTAAAAAGCACAGGGAACCCGCACGAATGACATACAATTCTTTGATATGCAGGTGTGGGACATGCATTCCAGCTTCAATAATATTTTGGTCCTCTATTATATATAGGAAAAGGGGGTTTGTGCTGGTACCCACCAACAAGAATTAAATTATTGGGTCTCTGTTTTTTCCAATTGTTTTTGCTTTGTCCGTTCTACACAGCAAATAACGGCTAAAAGCAAAATAAAAACTAAATATAGAATAGAATTAGACATCTAAAACGTCGACGCTTGTAGCTGCTGTTTCGAATTATATTTCCGGCAACACTGTGAATCAAAACGACAACTTCCTTGCGTACAATTAGCTTTGCGTGACGCCGGAGACGGGTGGGCTACCAGAGAAGAAACGACATCAAAATATCTTAGACTATAGAGCTACAGGACATMATATAGTCCCACCGGTTTACCATACCGGAAGTCGGCTCCAGACCTCYTTGGAGTCGGAAACGTAACTTGAACTCAATAAATCGAGCGGTGCAAGGGYACCAACGCCTCTTTACCAAGAGACACAGAGAGATAACACGAACTTTGAATCGATCAAGATGAAGCCAGCTTCATTTCTCTTCACTTTTGTAGTGTTGTTATGCACTATAACAAAAGGTAAGAGCTTTAGAATAGTTATACCTTTTGCAGGATATCAGAATCATAGCATATTTGCTGGTTGTACTGCACGCAGTCCAGTGACTTGAAACTCTTGATAGCATGGTAYGAAGTCAAGAAGTCATTTTGGACAACTCAATTTTTTTCATTTGAACGCAGATTAGCAATTGTATGTCATTCAATTTATTYTTGTTCTCGTACTTCAGCACAGAAATGCGCACTTTTGACAATTTTGGTGAAATTCGAACACGAGGAAAGAAAAACTTTAATTTCARTATTCTGATGGGATATTGAGGGAAAAGCTGCTGTGTAACATAATCGTTCGTTATTTATCACATCTCCCTTTATATTAGTCACGGAATTATAAACTTAGTTTTCTGATGCAGCAAATTAAATGGGAAGTACTTTCGTGCCCCTTTTTTCTCTTAGCAAAATTTTGGTTCTTCATCTAGCTAACGGAGTATTCTCAATTTTTTATTTTCTCTTCAATATTCAATTGTTCATATTCTATATTTTTTTCCACCAATACTTCCGTGAATGTATTTTATTCTTTTGTTTCCTGTGTTGTCGAGCTGTCTTTGAAAAGAACCACGTTCCATGCATTGAGTAAGTGAAGGCTATGCTGTTCTACGATTTCTGTCGCTGAACTCATCTCTGAAAAACCTTTCTTTTCTTAATTGTATGACTGTTGTGCAATGCTGTGTCCTATTCCAAAAATAGTTTTGAAAGTTTTGCATGGATGGAACGTTATGAAATTTAAAGTTAATATTAAATAGAAAGATTCCACAATAATTTGATCGCAATTAACTCGTCAAATGATTCATCCAACAGCTTATTCCTCTACGAGGAATGACACATCAACTTCTTCTGAAAAGGTTGCGGCACATGGGACATCATCAGCTTCCTCTACCGAAACTTCGGCGAATGAAGCATCAACAACTTCCTCTACCGAAACTTCGGCGAATGAAGCATCAACAACTTCCTCTACCAAAACTTCGGCGAATGAAGCATCAACAACTTCCTCTACCAAAACTTCGGCGAATGAAGCATCAACAACTTCCTCCACCGAAACTTCGGCAAATGAAGCATCAACAACTTCAACCTCTACCAAGACTCCAGATAAAGGGACATCATCAGCTTCCTCTACCGAGACTCCAGCTAATGAAACATTATCTAGATCTGGTAATAATAATGGAACCACCACAACTACTCCCGGCAAGAAAAGAAGTGCAGAGCCATCATCTTTGATCCAAAATGTCAAGGCAGTAGCTGTTTTACTCACATTGATGGGATTGATTTTGGTATTTTAAATTAATGTTGATTGATTGAGAAAATTCAAAAGAAAAAAACTGCCAAATATAYTTTTTTACTTAGCGCGCCATCTTAAATTTCAATTTTTTTAAAGAAATTATTGAATGTGCATTTATTGCAGGAATCAAAATATTGGAATTGTATGAATAAAGCCTTGGCTGCTATTTGTAAAATGTTAATATGCGATTCCAATCTTAAGCTTTCAAAATGCTTTATGGTTTTAAATSATGCCATCAATTTCAGAGGAACTCATCATCGTTTATAGTATTTGGATAGTATTTGGATTATAATCATAGAAAGCTTCTAAAATAATTTCTTGAGCCATCTTGAAAGGTAGCCGTGCCTTAACGTCGAAGCGAGACGACCTATCTAGTAGTGAGGCTGCATAATGGCAMCTTTCAAGATGTCGCAGTGAGCTTAAAATAAAAAACAATAAAGGAGTCAGTTAGCGTGCAATGATCACAAATAGGAATGCGATGCGAATTGCTTTTTAGTCAAACTCCTTCTCTGAGCTTCTGAAATTTCCTATCAATAAAAACAAAGTAAAATCTATGGGGGTTGCATAATTACTGCAAGCCTGCAATTATGCTTCGGCATTATTTTCTCCCTACCTTTGATGAAGCAAATGCAATTATTCCGTTTTTTTTAGTAATATTGTAGCGGCTACGGTCATTCACTCATAGCCAAACTAATCCAAAAAATGGAGTCATATTTTGGCACCATTTGCTCAATAAACGATCTACCACGGGAACAACCAGCATATCATCTCTTTCCACTATTTTTGGAATGCAATGAAAACATAAAGAATGTTAATGCGGACATGGAAGTAGAGAGCTGACCAGAACAGTCATCACTTTTGGCCTTTCACTTTGTGAAAAGGGACAACATTGGCTGCCATTAATTTTGAAAACGAAGGTTCTTATTACCACAAACAGAGAGCCTTCAATGCCATTATACTTTACTTCTCACGGTCTTACTTGTTCTAGTACCACAGTTGTGATCTTAAAAGGAATACGTGGAGAGTTGTAGCAGTGCTATTCACCAAATAAAACCAACCATTGCTTCGATYCAAGGCTGGACTTTGAAATTATGACAGGAAGACCGAAGGAAGAGTATTCTTATTATAAGCGTAATGCAAACAATATGATAAAATGCAATAATGGTTTATAGAATCCATTCAATTATAACCAAACATGATAAAATCCTCATCGTTGCGGCTGGAACTAGTAGTAGTAGTGATAGGGTCAACAATTGTACACAGCAGGGAACCAATTTAGGGTTAGGGAGCAGGAACATTATCCGGTAACCTCCATGAAATCATGCCATCAAATATCTTGGAAAGTAAAAATCCTATTGCAACAAGAAATATTGCAAGTGGATGCAGGGGTTCTAGTAAAGCCTAAATGATGAGAAAAAGTGTCGACATATGCACTCAGTGTCGATAATAGTTATCATTATTATTATTATTAATAATAGTCTCTTTCACGGTTCCCAGCGCCATCTTGAAAGGTAACCGTGCCTTTGCATCGAAGCGAGACGACCGTTGAGCGTGCAATGATAGAAACCTTCTTTCACACCTACAGACAATTATTCACAGGTATCTATCATTGATCGCTACAACGGTTGTTTTGCTTCAATGACAAGGCACAGCTATCTTTCAAGATGGTGCAGGTAACCGTGAAGGAGACTATTTTTATGCTTTTATTGTATATGGGGTAGGGAGTATGTGCTGTTACCCACCAACAAGACTTAAAAAATAAATGTCTATTTTGGCCAATTGTTTTGGCTTTGTACGTTATAAACAGCAAATAACGCCTAAAAACACAATAAAATCTAAAGTAGCTAAATATGGAATAGAATTATAGACAACTAAAACATCGAACCTTGTTTGCTGTTTCGAATTGTATTTCCGGCAACACTATGACTCAAAGCAACAACACCCTTACCTTGCATACAATTAGCTTTGCGTGACGCCGGAGACGGGTGGGCAATCTGAGTTGCTGTGGCATCAGAGACCAAAGCCTTTTAACTGTTTGAAAGGTGCCTACATGTGATATAGCACATGATAACAAAGCTTTACATCCAATTGAAGCCAGTCTCATCATTCTTCGCTTTTGYAGTGGGAATATACACTGCAGAAGAAGATGTCATCAAAATATCACGGTCTACTGGAAGTCATATATAGTCCCACCGGTTTACCAGACTCCAAGTGGGCATCARCCCTCCTTTATTGTCGTCTGAAACGTAACTCGAAAATCAATTAATTRACATGTGCAAGGTCACCAACGCCTCTTTAGTACCAAGCGACATACAACTGTGAGACAGAGGAGATAACAACAAGTTTTGAATCGATCGAGATGAAGCCAGTTTCATTTCTCTTCACTKTTGTAGTGTTGGTATGCACTATAACTAAAGGTRAGAGCTTCAGAATGGCTATAAGTTTCACAGGAAACAAAAATCATTACATACAGCTGTTGCTCGCGCGTASTGCATGCAGTACAGTGACTTGAAACTCTTRWTAGCAAATTAGTAATGGTTATTATTTATTTATTAAGCAAGTGCACCTCCTTCAATTCATTCTTGTTCTCGTACTTCAGTACAGAAATATATCTCCGCGCGATTTTGACAGTTTTGGCTAAATTCGAACACATGTGCTCGAATCCCCCCCGTGGGGAGTTTTCTGATCTTTTTCTCTAAAGATTGTGAGCAACACAAGAATGGTAAGAAAATGAATGAGGATGAATAAAAACTACGAGTGTTTTAAAAAGAGTGCAACGAACATTACATATGCTGAAACCAACGTCCAGCTGTCGTTCACGTGGACGACAGTTTCGCACGAGAGGAAATGTCTGAGCAAGCCGTGTATTCTGTTAAGCTTTTCATGTCTCTTTCATCTCTATCTGTAAGCTTATTTCTCCACTACGAAGCTATAGCAATAATTACATCTAAAAGTGCAATTATCTTTAATATATTAGCTCTACCTATGTCATGCTATTTTTTCAATACTGGGTCACCTTCAGCGTGCTCGATCAAGCTTTTAGCATGCATATTTTAACTGTGTCAAGTGGCGTAACACACATACATACTGATCACCGCGCGTGACTGCATTACTGAATCAAAGACGTATCCAGCAGAACGTTACAAAGGTGTGGACAACTAAAATAATAATGATAACTGCATAGATTTAGGGTTGCAGAAATGAAATTTCTTTCAGATAAACGATGCTCCCATTCAGATTAAACTTTTTCTTTTATTTACATTATCAATTTCTATTTCTATATTTTTCAAACCGCCTAGCTTGATCCTCCATTAGGAACGAAAAGACTTACGCTGTTTCCATTCTGCTCTGCCTCATGCTATGGATAAAACTTATAAAACAGAGAATTTCCAGTTATTTTAATSAGGCCTTGTAGACCGACTGAATAGAGACGTTATCATTCAGCAGCATGTCAGTAGGAGAGGAGTAATATAGCAAATGCGGCCAGATACTGCTGTTAGATGGTAGATTGTAAATACACTTTATATGAAGCCGAGCTTTCGCTGTTCTACAGCATCATCAGGACTGCACATTTGCTATGACTCTTCAATTGAATTTTATGCCGAAACTGAAAATGTCTTAAGTAGCACAGTTCGCTTAAACGCGAGCTGAATAATCAAAGGTTCAATTGTAGGTAAGGTATGAAAAGATCATGATTATTTATTTTGGTTTATKTAAAATTGCAGGAACTAACAGCCTTAAGTGTTACCACTGTTCGGAAATTACCGGCACAGTGCAAGTTAGCTGTAGAGCTCCCAAAGAGAAAGAATGTGCTAAAGATGAAGACAGGTGCATCAAAATACAGGTTAAATCGAGCAGTGGTTTCGGTGATAAAGAAACAGCTGTCAATTGTAGTACTTCAGCTACATGCAATGGATTCTGCAAGAACTACAAACAAAAACACTCTGACGTTGAAGAATGTTTACACAAATGCTGCGAGGGAGATCTGTGTAACCATCCGTATAATTTCACAATCGCCGTTGTAGTTGGACCTACTTCCTCSATTAYCGAGACTCCGGAGAATGGGACATCATCAACTAATTCCTCTACCGAGACTCCAGCTACTKGGACAACATCCGGTACTGGTACTGAAATCAGCACAACTCCCGGMGAGCCAACTAGCGCGGAGCCATCATCTTTGATCCAAAATRTCAAGGCAGTMGCTCTTTTGCCCGCACTGATGGGGCTTATTTTGGTATTTTGAATGTCGAYCGACTTTGAAAATACAAAAGAGACATACCATATATAGATTAAACATAAATAGTTGAATAACTACGATCAAGGAGATTGGAAACGCTCCATTAGACGCAGTTTTCCTAACGGAAAGTGCGTAACAAATGTATTCATCCGAAACTCATTCAAGGCATTAAAACGGCTTTGACGTCTAATAGTTSCAGTCTGGGTTWACTGTTCTTTTTCGAAAAAATGGAAACAAATAGTGAGCATTTTTTCACTACGCCTGCCATCTTGAATTTCATATTTGAAAAAAACGTTTTGGATGCCCATTGCATGAGCTTTAGTTTGTACAGCTTTCAAAATGTTTTTTATAATACCATCAATTTCAGCGGAACTTATCGTTTAACTAGCATTAGGAGTTTTAAAAAAATTGTATTTTTTTTATCAGAGAAAGCATCTAACACACTTTCTCTTGGCCATCTTGAGACACTAAAGGTTCTGTTGCCTACTCTAATATCATGTACTCGCCATGGTCTTACTTGTTCTAGTATCACAGTTATGACGTTCAAACTTTATAAGGTCGAATACGCRGAGAGTCCGTGCAGGTGGCATTCTCYAAATAAAAACAACCATTGCTTGCATGCAAGGGTGGCTTTTACAATTAGCACAGGAAGACCAAAGGAAGAGTATCTATTATACGTAAACAATCTGATAAACTCACAGTTTAGTATAAAAATGTGCATGTCATTACAACCGAGTATGGCAACCAATAAACATATGTTATACTCAGCAGATTTTCAATTTTTTTTTTCGGCTCCTGAAATAGCTTGAGAAATCAGTCAATCGTTTAATTCSTCACTGACAATGATCAATCATGTGCTGAAGCCAAATTTAGAAAAATGAAGCTAAGTAATGAGATGGCGAGAACATTTTGGTGTCTTTAAAGATAAGGTCCTGGTTATTTGACTTTTGACGGGGAGAGGGTGGGGAGGATTTTGTTAGGGCATTTTTTGTTATACCCTAAGCAAGCACTCGAAATTCAGATTTTGGTAAAACTACAAAGATTCCTAAGTAACACCAAGACTGAAACTCAGGGTTGATAACAAAAAACACTTTGACAAACATTCTTAAAAAGGGATGGCCGGAGAGCTATATCTCTTGATTCACTAAATAAATAAAATAAATAATAAAGATTCCTAGTGGAAATTTCTTCGTACAGGAACTTTATCTTTATACTCATGAATGCAGATCACCTTCTAAAGACTTAATGATCTCTTAAGTCCGAKTTGAGACAGAATCGTGATGTTAATATAACTGTACAACCAGCTAGGAGTGCAGCTTTGTCTCAAGACAATAGTCCCGCGATAGACACGTAGCAATGACGCGCGCTGACGCATGAAGTCGCGCCATACACGTTGAACTATTGTACTGAACGACCCCAAGGAGTGGAGCTGTTTCGCAGGTAAACATTTYCTTTGGCTTCTTTTTGCCAAAAGCTTAGCTCTGGCAAGCTATGACGAGTGGATCAATGTTAAAATTCTTAACTGAAAGGGTTTATGTAAAAGGCCGGTATCTGCTTGCCATATAAGGACATTATGATGATCCTCACGTCACGTGATATCAGGTTTTGCACATTATTACAATAATAGTTATCCAATCTTACGAAACAACAGACTATGAAACCTGATCCAAATACCTTGTCGAATAGTTTTTGATGGCAAACTCACATATATATGCAGCGGATAATTTTTTTTGTGTGAAGACAACCATCTTTTCCAACTGATAACTTTTTACGAATTTGAATTCAGCGGGACATCGATTTCCCGGCCTTGATATTTTGCGACAATTTGCCTACCGGCTAAGATGGCCGCCAAAACCGTCACCTCATTTATTGTACTCCTCTCGACTAATGAAAAAATATTATTTGTTGAATGTACTAGAGCGGATTTCGTATGAGTGGGAAACGGACGGTACTGTACTGTGACCGTAATCGTACTGTAACCAAATTCTAGTGTCCCATTGGTTCACAAAATTGTGAAGGCCAGGTCCGGTAACTGTGCGGTAACCGTGCGGTAACGGTGTCCCACTCATACGAAATCCGCTCTATAAAATATGAACTACACGCTCTTGGAGCGTGAAGTCGGACTAGCTGTTTTGAAAATATAGAAAAAGACAGTAAAAATATATGTTTCTTAGTTTTTTTCCAAAATAGCCGAACTCACGGTCTAATAAGAGAGTCTATTTCAAAATATGCAAAATTTCTTGAACTAAAAGGTCATGTAGTTAACACCGATATGAACGTTTTAAAAGAGTTCTTGCTTGACTGATAAAATCGAACTTGGTAGACAAAATGTCGCTAAGTGATATGCCAGTCGGCTAGTCCGACTCTAAATAGACCCTGACAGCAGGGTGTACTCGTGCCCTAAAGGTGTTGAAAAGTGTTGGCTATATTCAGTACTTTTTCAAATTGAGCTCATTTAAAACTTTTCACTTCAGTGATCGCCTATACCTAACGCCGAAGTGGTTTGAAAGTAACTCCTTGTTGATTACGTTTCATGTAATATTTAGCAGCTTTTGAAGGAACTAGCACAGGCTTACCAGACTATTGAGAAGAGTCGGCTCCAGGCCTCCTATGGCGATGGATTATCGGCCGAAAGCCGTTGAAATCTCTTCAAATTAGGCCATTTTCAACATCGATATTTTGGGGGGTTATATTCTGTTTTTTTTTTAGTTTAGAAATACACTTTAATGCTTTCTGAGTGTGGATTTGTGGTTCTTTTTGCCGTGCGATGCGTTTTTCCACGAAGTCTATAAGAGGAAAATTGTACGGGGCCGAAGGCATGGCCAAAAAAATTCGAAGCTTGTAGTTCCTGTTTCGAAATCTATTTCCGCCAACGCCGTAAGAGCGACAACGCCCTCGCTTAAACTTTGCGTGACGCCGGGGACTAGTGACCAACCTGACGGTACATACACTACATGATAACAGAACTTTGCATCAAAATGAAGCCAGTTTAATTCTTATTCGCTTTTGTAGTACTTCCAGTAGGTTGCTGCATGGTACAAGAAGACATATATGTCATCAAAATATTTCATAAGATGTACACACATGTATAGATCATCAGGGAAAATATGTAGTATATAATCTCAAAACAATCTAGTATGTCAGATCATAGTTAACTATGGTCAGATTGAATATCTCATACCACCGGAAATCATATAATAGACCCACCGGTTTGCTAAAAGTATCTGCCAAATGCACAGAAGATCTCGTCACAAGTAGTAGAATAATTGCGGACTTTCGTACGTGTGGCGTGAGATGCTCAATCAAAAGCTAAAAACTAAAAATTGTATGGGCGAAAAACACAAAAACCAAAAAAAGCAAGTCCTCTTTTCGTTATAAGATCCCTTTAATTTCCTGTGGTACATGCCATTCGTAGCGACAATAGTCCGTCAGCGGCTAGCCTGCGTAGGGGGGAAGGGTGCCCACCCCCTCCCCTTCAGATTTCCYCCCTTGCCCCCAGGCTAATCAGCGGCACTGCATGACGTAACTCGATAATGTATAAATTGTACTGTACGAGTCCACCAACGCCTCTTTACCAAGCGACATATAACGACGTGGACAGAGATAGATAACACGAACTTTGAATCGATCAAGATGANAAATCTATTTCCGCCAACGCCGTAAGAGCGACAACGCCCTCGCTTAAACTTTGCGTGACGCCGGGGACTAGTGACCAACCTGACGGTACATACACTACATGATAACAGAACTTTGCATCAAAATGAAGCCAGTTTAATTCTTATTCGCTTTTGTAGTACTTCCAGTAGGTTGCTGCATGGTACAAGAAGACATATATGTCATCAAAATATTTCATAAGATGTACACACATGTATAGATCATCAGGGAAAATATGTAGTATATAATCTCAAAACAATCTAGTATGTCAGATCATAGTTAACTATGGTCAGATTGAATATCTCATACCACCGGAAATCATATAATAGACCCACCGGTTTGCTAAAAGTATCTGCCAAATGCACAGAAGATCTCGTCACAAGTAGTAGAATAATTGCGGACTTTCGTACGTGTGGCGTGAGATGCTCAATCAAAAGCTAAAAACTAAAAATTGTATGGGCGAAAAACACAAAAACCAAAAAAAGCAAGTCCTCTTTTCGTAATAAGAGACCTATAATTTCCTGTGGTACATGCCATTCGTAGCGACAATAGTCCATCAGCGTCTAGCCTGCGTAGGGGGGAAGGGTGCCCACCCCCTCCCCTTCAGATTTCCTCCCTTGCCCCCAGGCTAATCAGCGGCACTGCATGACGTAACTCGATAATGTATAAATTGTACTGTACGAGTCCACCAACGCCTCTTTACCAAGCGACATATAACGACGTGGACAGAGATAGATAACACGAACTTTGAATCGATCAAGATGAAGCCAGTTTCATTTCTCTTCACTTTTGTAGTGTTGGTATGCACTATAACAAAAGGTAAGAGCCTCAGAATAGCTTAATAGGTTTCGCAGAGAAAATCAGAATCATTAGATCTGGTCATACTGCATTGGACTGCATCAAGTGTGGAGGAAATCGTTTTTTAGCTAGTCCAAGAATGTATTTTCAACAATATTTTGCATTTGAACGATTAGCAAGTTTATTTCATTCGCATGGATTGTACATTTCAATCTTGTTTTCGTAATACAGTAGACACAAATTYCCGTGCGCTTTTCAGGTTATACTCGGACACGTGTGTTCTTTACGAATGGTGTAAACCGAGACTCTGTATTAAGCGTGTTATATATGCCCGTAAATGAAGATAGTTCTCAGTTCTCTAAAGATTGCTAACAATACAATATATGGTAAGAAAAAGGATAAGGGTGAATATAAACTACGAGCGTTTTAAAAAAAGTGCTACRAGCATTACATGTACTGAAATAAACGTCCAGACGTCGTTCACGTGGACGACAGTTACGCACTATAGACAGCACTAGAGGAAACGTCTGAGCAAGCCGCGTAATCTGTTAAGCTTTTTCACGGCTTTTTTATCTTTATCCGTAAGCGCATTTTTCTACTACGAAGTTAAAGAAATAATTACATGTAATATCTTTTATATTAGCTCTACCTATGTCATGCTCTTTCGCTAGGTCACTTTCAGCGTGTTCGATGGATATTTTAACGGTGTCACGTGGCGTGACACATACACGCTGATAACGGCGCGAGACTGCATTACTGAATCAGTGACACACCCAGAACGTTACAAAGGGTGTSACCAACTAAAAAATTAATAATAGTAATGTGGAAAATGAAATTTCTTTAGATGAACGACGATCCCGTAGTTGTCTTCAGAATGAGTCTTATTATAATCTGATTCAATATATAATAATATATGATAATATATAATATGATAATCTGATAGTCTTTTTATCTTTTAAATTCATTCACTATTCCTATATTTTTTAATCGACTGAGAATAAACGCACCGACTTCCGGTATTTCCATTCTGCTCTCCTCCTGCCAAGAAAAGCATTTACATGCCTAAAACGCCTAGAATATATGAGTGCAATGTGTTCTCTTAATTATTTGGAGCCCTCAAGGAAAGATTACCGTTCTATTGAGGTCTAATGGGAGTTGAGAAGAGCTACTTTATGTCAAAATCAGTCGTCATTTATCATATCTCCTTTCACATTAATCAGGCTTACTATGAACTGTTAGTTTTTSYGATGAAGCAATAAATTTACCGGAAGTATTCCCATTCCAATTCCACTTCTTTTTCTTTAGGCAGAATTTTATYTCTTCCCGTTTTAGCTAACCGAGTATTCTCAATTTCTTATCTTCTCATCAATATTTAATTTTCTATATATATTCTGTATTTTTTCCCTCAACTATTCCGTAAACCAAATTTGCTCCTACGGTATTCCGGATTCCGCTTCAAACCCCGATACTTGCACTTGGCTTTCGTGCACCGCATAGAAACACGGACATTTTGAAACCCCAAAACCGTACTATGTTCAGAATTTTTTTGACCAAGAGACAACACACCTAGAGCCACAATTATTTAAATGCTAATGTTTTATCTTAACATGATCTTTTGGCCCACGGTTTGTTCACTARAATTCAAGMCATTTATCATTAGGGGYTATTAAGCCTTTTGAATSCTAAGACAATGAGCTCACCGGGACACGAGGTCAAAGTGAAGGAATATAGAAGATAATTACGCAAGTGTTTATGTTTCTAAATGTACTTTAGCATAAACACTAGAAATCAGATCTTTTCAACATCGTTATATTAAGCATCATTGGTCTGAATTAACCGTCTACTCCAATCGTTGGTGAATGTATTAAAATCTCCTTAATCTATGGGTACGGAAAGCACATGGAAGAGGATACATTAGCATAATAATTTGTTAAAACCTCATTGTCTTCCATTCTTCGTCGTTCAATTTGCATACTAGTTACTTGTGGCAGCGCCCTGCTCACTACTGCAAGAGTTATTACTATTGCTATATCTCTTGAAATGAAGCCGACTTCGTTTATCTTTGCTTTTGTACTGCTATACGTATTCTCCAAAGGTAAGATTTCAMGCTCATAATCATAACATCTTGTTTTGATTCTATAAAAAAAGGTCAGTTGGAACGTCCAGTTAAATCGTGGTCGCTTTTCAGAAGCCCCATCTCAAAGAAACATCGAGTTATATARTCTTGTAATAGTATTTTGTCGAAAATCAGTATGAAAAAAAAATTAGTATGCGGAGCAATGATATTCTGTGAAAGGATCGATTTAGCTTCCAATTTTGAAGCACCGACATGGTTTCAGCTACGCGTTTTCTTTAAAAAATCAATCTTCGAGTTGGCTGTTACAGATCTATTACCGGAAAAAGCAAGAATTATATAATTTACATCTCTTAAACTGACATCAAGTTATTTGTACAGTAGATAAGATATTCATTCTTTTTTATATAAGTAAATGACTTCAATGTTTTCCCACGAGACGTCTTTTTCTTTTTAATGAAACGATACTTGAGATCTTTTCAAACGAAGCCAGTAAATAAAATGCAATTCCAATACATGTGAGTTTATATGGGAATTTCTTTACAATGCATTTTCAGTGTAAACTGTCGACTCGTTTTAGCTTTTAAATTAATAATCGCTGCTATAATTTTATCCATCAATGTATGTGGATTTTCCGGAAAACATAGCATTCCGTGACTTGATATACGCGTACAGCTAAAAATCTTTATTTCTTTAATCAAAGATCAACCTTTTAGTTTGGAAAGGTCTAGAAGAAATCTCTGTACAAATAATGAAAATCGAAATTCTTTAGTTATTCATGAATTCATCGTGGTATATTACATTCATAGTTAATGGGCTATGTTTTCTTGAACAAGGTATAATACATTTGAAGTGCTGAAGAAAGGGGTAGTACTTGCTGGTATGTGCAGCAGACGGCTGGTGTCGGCTACGTACGCTAATTTCGCGAAAACGCAGCTTCCACYCATAGCTACATGCAGATTTTCAAAACCAAATACCCTGGTAAAGGCAAAATTCGTATAAAATTGAACCAGGTGATTTTTGATTAGGATGACGGGTAAAGAGGGCGGGAATGGTMTTTATTATAAAAGCAATTTCTCTGAACGAATATTAGAAGTGTTCGAATATGATATTATCATGTTTTTCTACTTTAAAATGTTTGCTGTTCAATGATACAAAAGCCAAAATCGTTTAAGAATATTTCAAGCTGWGAATATCCTGTGTTGTGTGGTAATGGGWAAAGAGGCGATTGATTATTACCACKTGTACAATTCGACTTTTTCTACCACATGGGCTGCGAACCTGGGGCGGGAAATGACGCACTCAACACCATCAACTATAATRCAAGTCGATCACATGCACCTTACCAATAGAAACTAGGATCAGCTTTTCAGATTTGCTTAAAATCGAGGCGCAGAGGGGTTTCATTATTTTAAACATCAATGTGTAATTCTTGTTTTATACAATTTTGTGATGAAGTGAATAAGAATTAATGATTTACTGCAAATTTACTTTAAATTCTGAATTTCCCGCTTGTTGTCACAAAGAAATTGCATTTTTTTTTAATGCAAATTAAAAGAAAAAAAAAAATTACAAAAAAATTTAAAAAAAAATCAAAATTTTGCAAATTTCAAAAAACGATGAGAACACTTACATTTACTGACAATTTAAATGCTTTTAAACATAAGGTGTTAAATATAGAGTGTTAAATTTAAGGTGTGTTCTATCTTCTATAATTTAATCTAAATGCCACGCGTGTTGCTTTGTGGTCCTAGAAGTGAAATAGGGAATTTCAAATCATTTTATATTTCCATTTATTGTCTTCGTAGTCCCCTCCCCCCTTAAGTTCCATCGCTACAAGACATGACCCCTTGAAGACTAGAAGTAATCGATTTTCGCATATTTGACCGTTAACTTATTAAGTCAAGTATTTTAGAATATCGATTTTCGGTCTATTGTGCTTATTTTTACCGCTTATTATATTTTGCAAATTCCAGTTTACAAATATAATGTAGTATTAACTTGACTTATGAGCTGCCCGATTATATTGATGTATTTCAATTCATTGATTTTCACTGTTCACAGCGGCCATACACCTTATTCCAAAATGGCTGACTAGCCCTTGATGTCTCRTTTTCATAAAATTATTCTTTTGTCTTTGAGCTTGAGTGACTTTAAAAGAAAAGAACAATTTAATAAAAACGAGACATCAAGGGCTAGTCAGCCATTTTGGATTAAGGTGTATCCTCTGAAGGGAGCTTCAACAAATGATTTCTCATTTGCATCTATAGCTACAGTCCTCCAACCGATCTTTTATCTTTTGAATATCATGAGAATGGTTGAAAATAATCAATATTGTTAGTTAAGTCTTGGACAATATTTAGGCGTAAAGTTATATTTTCACTTCTAACGATATATTTTTTATTTTATAGGAAAAGCACTTAAATGCTATTCTTCTCAATGTAGAAAACAAGTTGGGCCGGGTGTGCAGTCTGCAAGSTGTTCAAAGTTGGAGGAAATCACTTGTAAGCCTATGTTGGGGCAGCCAATGGATCCCGACCGTTGTAGCTATTATAAGTAGGTATTATATACTTAGGTAGATACTAAATAGCAAGTATAGAGTAAAACCTTCTCTTGCTTTTGCCTCATTTAGCAGCCTTTTTTTGGTAGTCGAATCTTACCTTATTTGGAAGTACGTTTGACTGATGTTTGGCGATTTTCTCGACTTTTAAGGCATGAAATCGTCCGAAACTTGCAGATATTCTAGCAGAAACATTTCTGAACAATCAGCCATTTTGTTTGTTTCCATATATGGCATTGATTCGCTAAAGGAAGCCCAAAATTAAAGTACACAGGGATCCTGTACAAATGACATACAATTCTTTGCTTTCGAGGCTAAAATTCTCCCTGATCCATTTCTAGAACTGTACAAACAACGAAGCAGCTTAACATGACAATAACAATAACACAAGAGGTCAAGAACTGTTCTTATTCGTCCATGTGCAGTCAACAATGTTCTGTTGTACCTGTCGGGGTAAAATGTGATGTGAAGTGCTGCAAAGACGACCTTTGTAATGACGGTAGTAATAAAACTGGACCAACCCAAGCACCGAAGCCTAAACCAACTGGACCAGTGGGTATGTTAYATATACTAGTATACCTGTGCTGTACTGTGCATATCCTAGTGCTGCAGGCATTTATTATTGTACGGCTATGCCGTTCTGGGAGTTTTACTGCTGTGCTATTCATCGCTTCACATTTTTACACTGCATTGTATTCTTCGTGTGCAACCACATGACCAGGAATCCCCTGAGAAATAAAGAACAAAGCTATCGCGGCCGYCATATTGGATGAATGAACAAGAGAAACTAATGAGGAATGCTTTGTGATCTTCATCCAACATGGCGGTGATGACGTAACTTGTACGCCAAGAATATCGATATTAAACYGTACTTGAAAAGAGTCACGTTGCATCTATTGACTATTGTGCGACAAGGCTATGCTGTTCTGCGATTTCTGTCTCTGATCTCCTCTCTCAAATACTTTCCTTTCTTCATTGTATGACTGTTATGCTATGCTGTGTCCTATTMAATAAATACTTTTGAAAGTTTTACATGGATGGAACGTTATGAAATAAAAAGTTAGAAATGGAAAGATTCATCAATGATTTGCTCGCAAATAAATAAATAAATAAATCGACTTTATTTTACGAGGGTAACACGTTATTTGTCAGTATTATGCGATTTAATAGTGCTAATTAGTGTCGGCCATTTAGCCGCCACGAAGCCTACCGGCGATTATAATTATCACATGTTATCATACTTTTGAAAGTCGTCAATACTTGAAGTGCATCTTGTTGCATACATTGACAATGCTTTCTGTCATCCACATTGCTGTACCGTGTTGCTTATTGACACCCTGTGTGTGTAAGTTGCGTGCATCGATTATAGGTCTTTGTTAAGCTTTCCTGTTCTATTCTCAGCTTCAAATTGCTACACTGCATTGTATATCGATATTAAACCGGGTCATGTTACGTTTATTGACTATCGCTGATCTCCTCTCTTCATTGTATGACTGTTGTGCAATGCTGTGTTCTATTTAAGAAATAGTTTTGAAGGTTTTGCATGAACGGAACTTTATGATAAAAAGAAACTTTATGATAAATAGAAAGATCAATAGAAAAAATCGCGCGCTTTAAATGTTGTAAATTCGATGTAAATATGATGTAAGTGTCCAAAATTCTGTAAATTTAATGGAAATCATTTACATCAAATTTACAGAATTCTAGACACTTACGTCATATTTGCATCAAATTTACAACCTTTAAAGCGCGCGATTTTTTCCAGTATCCGATGATTTGATCCGCAATAACTTGTCGATTGATTCATTCAACAGGCAAAGACCTTTCCTGTTATGCATGTGGCAGTGAACAGGGTAGCCCAGAAGATTCAAAATGTGTCAAACCCACTAAGAGGACCTGTGGAACAGACCAAATGGGAACACCTGAAAGCATGTGCAGGACCGTGATAACCAAGGTCAAGTCACCAGATGGCAAGATTCACGACAGTGAAATGCGTAACTGCAGCAGCGCATATTYTTGCAACGAAAAGTTTATTTGCTCTTCAATGAATATGACGGGAACAATCAAGGAATGCAAAGTGTCTTGYTGTGAGGGAAATCTTTGCAACAAAGATGCTGACGAGGTTCCCAGCGCTTCCATCTCAACAATGGCTTCAAACATCCTTGTATTTCTTCTTTCTCTCGGACTGATTGCTCGCTTTTAGATATGGTACAAAACACTCCCCTTATWCAGCTACTTTTTGTCTTGTTCCATTCCTCCTCGACCATTTTGTGCTTCCAAGACTGGTAACGATTAAGGGATAGATTATGTCCAAAGGACTTTAAAGTCAGAGTACGATGCTCTTTAACTTTGACTTTGCATGACCTTAAAATATATTAATCTGGCTACCTCCGTCGTCGTTAACCTCTGGTCCGAGGCTCATATCTTTGTCAAGAGTAAGGAGATTTTATATTTAGGCGCCATCGTGTGCCTTTGTACTTAAACAATACTCCCAGCGAACTATATAGGACTGCTTAAAAGAACATATATTCATCAATAGGACTAGTTAAGCGCCGTAAAATCGGTACAGCCACAAAATTCAAAATAGCAAAGTATTAGCCAATGTACTTTTTTCACATTTTATGCATATCTAGTTAGGTTGTGGTAGGTAGTGCTTGATGATGATTTTGAGCAACCGACTAAGAAGCTGGTAACAGCCAGTAACGTAGGACGTGTTCTTGACCTTTTCTTAAGTGTTGTAACCCTGGTAATCAAGATATATTCCCTCGATAGCTCGTTTACCAGTATTAAATGAACGTTTGTTCCTGTACCAACCGCAGTGAGCGTGCTGAATAGCGTCTCAAACTACATTAAAACTTGTCTTGTTCTATTATTAGTTCTGTAATTCTTGTTTCTTTAAGTGTTAACTGTATGCTGAAAAATATTGCAGATTACTCAACCTGCCCCTGTAAGAGACAGAGTAAGCGCTCTAAGAGCGTGTACTAGTTAAACAGGTCCTTCATCACGCAGCATTTTACATGAACCATCGTACATATTCCTATGTTGAAAGCATAATACTACAGTAAGGAATTTGGTTTGGTTTCCGTCTATAAATAATTTACCAAATTCGATTCTCAGTTTCCTTTTGTTAACAAAGTCACGTGTCACCTCATGATATCTCTTGATCTACGCATAGCACTCTGGGAAATTTAAGAAAATTATTATAAGCGATGGATGCTAGTATACGAAGTGAAATGTGAAACGCTGCCATATAAGCCGAGTCGATGATCGTATTTAGYATCCGCGAGTACGTGAGCTCGTAATCAAAGTATCGCTGTTTAAGTAAAGTAAACAATTGTCCAAATTAGTTTCTGAAGCATAATTATGGACTTTTTTTAAGGTGTTGGTGTTGTTTGTAGGCCATTTAGACAGTACYTGGCTCATAATTGTTATAAATCCTTGACTTTTTGAATGAAAACAATCTTCRGTAGTTTTTTATTTTTCSTTGACTTCAACGTGTCTTTAGTCGATCTTAACGCACTTAGACTTATTAGCACGAAACAAGTCAATTTATTTACAAACCCCAGTTTTCAATCTTCAATCGCTATGAAAACAGATACAAAAAAAGTTACTTCATTAAACTTTAAAGAGTTKTCATCTTTCAACAGTTAGTCAAATTGACAAAACTACCCCGCAAAAACCTAAAATACAACGCCATTTGTGATGAAACGTCACCTCACTATTCACAATTACACGATTCTGAGCCATGATGAACCACGTTTGCGGTTGTGCGGTGGCAGATAGTGTGGGAGTGATTCAAAAAACGCTCGCTTAACTGAGTGATCTTAAAAAAAAACCGTGTTATTCTAGAGAGTTTTTTTTTTCTTTTCGAATTAAAAACTCAGTCGCGTTGAACAATTATTACTCGAATGAATTTTGATTGATTTTGTTTTGTTTTGCAAAACTATACAGTAAATTCGACCCAATAGCATTARAGCGTATTAGTGCCACCGCGACCCTTGTAGACTTGCAAGCTGGCGCACAAGATGCTCTTTTTCATGCAAATTGGTCGCTTTTCTCGTTTGTTGAGGCTTGAAGTTTTGCGCGAAAGAACAGACTTCTGCAAGATTGTTTGAACCGAAGATAATGGCTGTGCAATTTTGGTTCATGTTTGTTTGTACGGCGCTGTATTTCTCATCAGGTGAGTCATTGTTCACCATTATACCTAAACATTGTATCAAAATGRGATTGGTTCAAATATGGTTCTGATTTGTCAAATAATCCGGAACTTGACGTTAGACCAGTGATCCTGGGTGCTTGCAAAATGAACAGATTTTACGATACTTCCAAATTGTTTGATCATTAGGTTTTTTTAACTGGAATATAATATTCAAATCAGTGGGAGAATTTATAAAGGATGGCTAAAGCCAAGAACAAATTATTATAAGGATTCAATTTAGTCGTGAGGAAAATGGGATTTCCTGTTGATAAAGGCTGCTTTAGTTGTTTTTCAAAATGATTTATCATTTTCTCACATTTTTCGACGAGTTACGGCTATATAATTTCTGTTTTTTGAACTATTGAAAGGCGTGGCTACCCACCCTGATCACCCCACCCTTGACAAAGACTATGTCTCAATTTAATTTTTTTCTTTTTCTTATCTTTTGTAATTCGATTCAAACCATGACTGAGATTTTGGCGTTCACATATCGAGATCTGGGTGTGTAGTTGTTAATTATTCATGTGCAAAAGGCACAGCGTTTTGTGTGAAACTGGTAAATGAAGAAAATACAGCGTGTCTTYATGAGTGGAAGGCAAATGCAAAGTGATAGATCAAAACAAGATTAAAAAGAAAACAAAATTAAAGATTAAACCCTTGGAGCGTTTATAGAAGTTACATAAACTACTCAAAAGGAAAAAAATGCACAAAATCAGATAGCGAACGAGGTGTTTTAGAGCCTTAATTATTAGGAATTTGTTGCCTATAGGGCCTAGGTTGACTCTCTACAATCGCCTTCATAATAGCTTGACAATCCTCAGTGCATTATTTTACCTAAAACGATCAGTATTCGTTTATTCTCCACTCAAACTCCCCTCCACGCATCAATGTTGCCTAATGCAATCCAGGTGATGTTTGAGACCCACACCAACACTAAGAAAGGGGAAGGCCGTATCACGACTCACGGCTAAAAATTTGGGTTTTTCACGCCTCACGGCTAATTTTTTTCTCATTTTCACGCCTCACGGCTAATTTTTTTCTCATTCTCACGACTCACGGCTAATTTTTTTCTCATTTTCACGACTCACGGCTAATTTTTCTCATTTTCTCGACTCACGGCTAATTTTTCAGCCGTTTCACGACTCACGGCTAACCCCATTGAGACCCTCTCTTTATGACATACAGGATATTTTTTGCTCGGAAACAGCGAGCTCATGAAAGTTGAAAATACGAAAAGAAAAAAAGATCTACTTTTATGTGACAACGTTGGGAGGTGGGGGAAGGATCAATAGTAATTCTTGGTATTCGGGGGGTGGGGGGGGGGGGGGGGGAGTGAGGTCTCGAGATCACGTGAATGTTGCGGACTTACTTACTTGATAACATAGTGGTTACCCGTCTTAAGATGAGAATTACCACAAAAACGATCAAGGTATCAAGGTCATAGCGGGGATTGTGGACCCACAGTAAATCGTTATGCTGTGTGGTTACTATGCCTATTCTTTGTACCGAAGGTGTTGAAATATAATAAAAAAGGAACCATCCCCTTCATAATTCTGAAAAATTCAGCCACAAGACTATCAATCTTTGAATTATAGATGTTGTGAATATTTGCATGTAAACATGACTTAAATACTGTACATGTACGCCATAGGTCGATCAATGAAGTGCTATACCTACACATGTCAAAACTTCACCAACACAGGCTACCCGACATGTTCCCCGCCTAAAGCTATCACGTGCGCTMAGGACCATGACTCTCTTGTACCACCCAACCGCTGTGTAATTCAGAGGTAAGTCACGTGAAACACGAGAAAAATAATGTGAAAAATAATTGCATGAAAATAAGGATGTCAGGGCTGGGCTGCCTGTGGCAACTCTGGGCTAAAAACTAACTTCAGTCCAACGGTTTTTTTCCGGGTTGCATAGGATATCCGCTGAGCTCAAAGGTACTATAGTTCACGAAGAAATACGKGGATGTGCAGATAACTTGAAGTGTCGATCAAATCAACTGTGTAAGCAGGCCAGAAAGTATGGGAATATAAAACACTGTGAAGCCCTTTGCTGTGAAGGAAATCTTTGCAACCGCGAGGGACCGGTAGYTAGGCATATTGCGGCTGATCCGATGTCTCCCTCAGGTGAGTATCCGTTAACTGGATACAGTGGTACCCAGCCTTACGGGCCGCCCTATTAGTATACGGTCACTGTTCTGATTAACAACGACACGGCTTTAGGTCAGTGTATATTTATAACCATCCTGTGACTTTATAGTGAGGTCAATGCGTGCGGGATTTACTTTGTCCGTGTTGAAAAAGTAACAATTAAAAAAATGCTTGAGCGGCCACCATCTATCACCGCTGTGGTCCTGGTTCGATTCCCAGTCCGGGATTATATGTGATTTGAGTTTGAATGTTGGTTCTCTTCCTTGCTCCGACGGTTTTTCTCCAGGTACGCTGGTTTTCCTCCCTCTGTCAAAAACTAGCTGTGAGGAGTGTCGTATGCTAAAACAGTCAATGTTGAGGTAGTGTGTGCGAGTTGCATCACACGTCCAATGAGCTTTTAGACCGACGGTCTACTGTAAATCTTTTTCTATCGCTATCCCTAGGTGCAGACTTGTCGTGCTACGCATGCTCCACAGCCAATGAACCAGGCATACCACCAGCAATCAACTGCAGCCATCCAATCAAACAACAGTGTGGAGAAGATCCGCTGACCACGGATAAACAAGATCGCTGTGTCACCATCACAATGTCTTCACGTGACGGGCTCGGGAATTCTCTTTACCAAGAAATGCGCCATTGTGCGTCTGAATACTACTGTAGTCACGGATTCTGCGTCCATGCCAACGTCTCAGGATCGCTGACGTCATGCAATGCTAAATGTTGCTATGGAAACATATGCAATAACGACGGTATGACCACAGCTTCGACTCCGACATTAAAATCGACGAAGCAAAGAGAGGTTCTTGCACGACAAGGAGCCGATTTTTCGACAGTGGGAGCGATAACGAAACGTAAATCTAGTAAAAGTGCGCGCTGGGAAATGGCAAAAACCGTTCTGTTTCCCTTTGCTTTTCTTTCGATAGTTTTTTTTACTTAAACTTACTTTGAAAATATTAGTCATGGTCATAATTGCGAAGTGAGACATGAAAATGGCTTTCATAGTGTTAAGTCATACAAATGCAACAGAAATGAGCTATAGAAATATATAAACTATATCAAACTTATCTTACAATACAATTTGACATATTTAAATCAAAATATAAGCTGAGAAGAAAGTTAGATGTGAGAAGGACGAGCGCGTGGTCGACTACAATGTACGTCTGAAGTCGATTCTAGGATTCTTTAAAAGTCGAATACTTAAACGGCTTCTAAAAACATTTTATTAGGACTAACATTCTACGACCTGATTGTCCATTTATGTCTGATAGTAGTAGCACCCATTTATCAATGACGTAAAATATGAACTGAGTGATTTAGATTTAGATTACGCAAACGTGATGTTTGTAAAATAAGGTTTCTGAAAGCAAAACCGATTTGAATAAAACTCTGAAATACGAATAACAAAATAGTACAAAACTGCGCAAGTTAAAAACTTGCGGTAGTCCGTCCAATTCCACATCCAAAACGTTGCGTTATACTGACTGCATTCATTACCTAACATCTACGTAAATCTACATGTCTTACCCGTGCATGTCAAGTAAATGCATGTGCGAAGAACGCATGTAATACCCGACTTTATGTCAACTGTGCGTAAATACGTGTCTAAGTTACGTATTCAATACCTTACTTTACGTCAACTTTTACGTAAATAGGTGTCTAAATTACATATTCAAAACCTTACTTTACGTCAACTTGTGCGTAAATACGTGTCTACATTACGTATGCAAAACCTTACTTTACGTCAACCGTTCGTAAATACGTGTCTAAATTACGCATGCAATCCCTAACGTCAAGCGGGCGTAAATATGGTGGCTAATGCATGTATGCCTGCCATGCATGTCATTAACAATACACGATTGTCATTTGACGTTTAAGATTGCAAATATTCATGGTGAGAATGAAATCTTTTTCAGAGAGCTAGATGCATCTATTTACATGTGAAATCTAAAATTCTCGCAAAATCCCTGGAGAAATTGCAATGGCAATAATTAGCGGAATTATTAGGAAGCGTCAGAAAATTACCCTTGGGGTCCCCTGTGAATGAAATGATTCTACATTATGATYTGTGGGTCTGGTGACGAGTTTGAAATTGATTTGTGTGGGAGAATTCGTCCACCGTTAATATATAATTCATCTTTGACTGTGACGTCTTCGCCGAGTACTGACACGCCTTCCATGCGAACCTAATAGAGAGAAGACACAATGATAAGTAACAATCCCTAAATCTCATCATAGCAGTGTTTGTGTTAGAGTGGTTCTCATTAACCCGTGAAACAAAGTGTAATAGTCAAAGTGTAATAAAGTGTAATAGCCAAGAAATATAATAGAAAACAAAAGAGACAAAGTGTAATAAAGCTGTGTAATACGCTAAAATGTATTTCACGGGTTAATGAGAACCACTCTATTCCAGAACTGGTACTTTTCTCTATTACTATGTTATCATATCTGTGTAAAAGTTAAAAATCTGAGGCGCGCGCTTAAGATCAAATATAGGGTTCTAAAAATAAATGAATCCTCTGCGTTTACTAGTGATATTTTTAATACCGAGCTTTCGGCCTAAGCGGCCATTATCATTGTCTACCTTGATAATGGCCGCTTAGGCCGAAAGCTCGGTATTAAAAACATCACTAGTAAACGCAGGGGATTCATTTATTTTTAGAAATTATGCCTGCGTACAAAGAAATTCTAAATATAGGGTTATCAATTCCGCGCGCGCAAGGATAAAAGAGGGTCCAGTTCTGGACTAGGTCCGTGATAGAATGCCTCCTAAAGTTCAGCACAGGGATACCGTCATAAAAATGGCGGTTTGCAGCTTTGCTCCCGATCATGTTCCGTGCGAATCCACGTATTTATCCCGAATGAATCCCGAGGTTTATCCCGAGACAACCTCGATTCAACCCCGTGTGAATTCTTATGTACTTATTGACTGAGTGGGAGGGCCGTACAGGAAAATATTTGGCTCGAGGTTATGCCGTACGGAACGAGCGCAGCGAGGTCCGTACAAATGAAGGCGAGAGCCAAATATTTTCCCGTACGGCCCGACCTAACTCAGCCAATAAGTATTTTATCATATGAAAGCGTTTTTTTAATGTAAAAAATAAAAATAAAAGCGCGCGGAACTTCAAGCCGGGAAGATACGGCTTTGTACGGCCCTGTCACGAAAAGGTGTACTGCCTCCATCACGTGACCATTTCCCAAAGTTTTTTTATGAGCGCGCGTAGGGCCGAAATACGGGTCATATGGTAATGTGTTTTATTGGGATTTCAATCTCAAGTTAAACCYAAAGTTTATCCCGAGTAAGTCACGAAGTAAATCCGACGTTTATCCTAAAAATCYCCTTTCTTTCTCCGTAACTTACTCTTACCCATTGTCCAACCTGCGATCTCCAACCAATAATAGACGATTGAATCCACGAGTGAGACTTTATAACAGAGTCACGTAGAATTACACACCTRGAAAGACAAGCTCCTACAATGCRAGCCAATAACATTATGTTAGACAGCGKATAAAATCTGCTTCTTAAGCYCGTGAAACAAAACAAAACAGAGMGAAAGTGTACRAGTATTAAATGCATAAAATGCACTTCATGGGCTTATGAAGGACAGTCAGAATTATAGCAGGTTTAAATAGCCTCGAAACTATGGACACTCYCAACTACTTTAGACGTCTACTCGCKWGTAAGGACACAAACTCGTCACTATGAAYACTAGCTAGCAAGGATACCCCATGCCTCTACAGCTAAAACCTACTACAGCAACTCGCCCTGGACACTWAACTATGATCTCAAGTTAACAAAATATCAACAAATTGCATCTGATCTGCCATACCGTCTTGTATCACAACCCCTGGTCCTATAACGACGTTCGGTCCTATACGGCACTGCTGTCCTATTTTGCTAGTAGGGTCCTACAGATATGATATATCAAACATTACCGCTTTAGRMAAGCATTAAATCTATWMTKSMAMMRG